GAGGAGGAAATAAGGAGGTTGAGGAAAGAACTTGTACCCAGAGCTCAGCCCATGCCTTATTTTGACAGGCCGTTCATCCCCAAAAGGTAAGCTTATGAAGAATTAGGGTTTAGGGTTTAGAGGCCACATGAAAATTATGCATTTTACACATTGAACCCTAGAGATAATTTAAATAGCTCCATTCCAAAGCAATTACTGCCAGAATCAGATGACAATTATGCATTTTAAACCTCCACTTGCACTAAATATGTTTGTAGCTGGCCCCACTTAGTGGGATAAAGGCTTGTTGTTGTTCTTGTTTTATATGCTACTTTACCGATGCATTAAAAGGTGTATTTCACTTTCTAAATGTTAAAATATTCTTACTTTTGATTTGATATGAGAAAGATTTGGATGATATAAATGTAAAAAGCTATTTTTAGGTGTTATATATATGTAAATACGAGGAATTGTGTGGTATGTTTTGTAAAATGCCTCTCTTTTTTTTTTCTTAAGTTGAACCACTATATAAAGCAATTTTTATTACTCTAGCTAGAAGCTATACATATAAATGAAGCCTGGGTTCATATCTACTCCATCATAGCTCAGAATTCAACTTAATGTATCAAATAGTGACTTTATCTATATCATAACTCGAATTCAACTCGATGTATCGAGTAGTGACTCTATTATAACTCGTATTCAACTTGAAGTGTTAAGTCGCAACTCGACCTTGAGCTTATGCTCGATATCTTTTTCAAATTTAAGTATCTCAACTTTATTAAACATGAATGGGGTACGACTTAAATTGATCAATGCATAATTATCTTTGCTAAAAGTAAACTGGGGGATTTCATGTTTCTTTTTATTTTTGCCATAATATCCTTTGTAGGTTTGCTCAATGAGTCATCGAGTCAAGTCGTAGCTCGTTAAGCATAACTCATGAGCATTAAACAAGTTGAGCTCGAGCCAGCTCGACGTATTCAATTATGACTCATGAAGTTATGGCTCAAAAGTTTATACCTTGATCTTCTCTATGTAACAATGGGTTCACATTCCAGGTCTGCAAAGCCGAGGACGGTCCCAAAGGAGCCAAAGTTTCATGTCAAACCCGCCGAAGAATCATGGTAAGCATCAAGAATGTTAAATTGGCAATTGCCTTAAATCTTGTCATAGAGGAAAATTTGCATACATAGCACACAATTCTTATATATATTGCATACATAGCACATATATTTAGTGCTAAAAAGTTTAATTTAATGTCAATATACTATTTTTTTTTTATTAGTTACAAAGCAACAAATCAGTGTTTGTTTGGTAGGAAGATTTGCGAGCATTCAATGATCAAAGAAAATGAGGCCATGTGAGCTGCTTTTCATGGAGCTGCTGATCATGCTAATTCTTAAATGTTTCCACCATTTTTTACATAATTGACCTGCATGAAAATAATTTCTTGCATTGTAATTTTTGAATTTAGAATGGTTGGGTGATATGAGAGAATATGTGAGGAGTATTTTGCTATTTTCTTTGTAAATAAATTTTTCAGACTGCAAACATAAAAGCCTGATTTTCAGTTTTAGAATTGGGAATTATGTATTTACACATGTGCCATGCAATTTTTATGTATTTACATAACTAAACACTCAAATTGCACAATAATTCTTTTATAGAAAAAATTAAACTTGTATGGATGCATTAAGGGTCTGTTTGGGGCAGCTGTTGATAAGCTGATTAAAAATAATCTGTTGATAAGCTAAGTGCGGGTGGCTATTACAAATTTTTTATTTTTTTTGGAAAAGTCAGACCATTGTCAATTAGCTCCCACCGATGTGAAAACTCAATTTTCTGCGTTTTGAAAACGCATAAGCTGTCAAAACATAGTTTACCCAAACAAGTCAGGCGTGTTTTCGAAACGCTACCGCACTAAATAAGTTGCCCCAAACGGGCCCTAAGTTTCAATGTCTTGTAATGAGGGATTTATGTGTGTGTGTGTGTATAAAAATAATATATATATATATATATAT